AGTTTCTGGATCTGTAAACGTGTAAGTCCTGGCAACGTCCCTTCCAGCAAACCTGGGGGTAGGAGGTGTCTCTCAGGCGTCCGCTCTGGACCCCCGCCCGTGTCCCTTGAAACCGCGGGGTAAGCTGGGGGTGGGCTGTGGTCACCACGTCCGGGGTGGCTGTGCTTCAGCCCATCTGCCGGCTGCCTACCCCTGGAGCCCCTAGGAAATGGTGCTCCTGGGGCACGTGGCAGCCGGCGATGGCCATCAGATGAACTGAGAGCCATGTCCCTCCCCATCCCCCAGCAACCTTTCAGTCTCTACCAGAAGTGTGGAGAGAACTCTGTTCCCACAGCCTCAAGCAGCTGCCAAGCCAGAAACCCATCTGCAGGTGGGGCACACGCCTGGGATGCCTGGGGGGTGGCACGGCCTCTGAGCCAGGGACTTACCTTCTCTGGTCCACACCGGGTACCCTCGGGCACTAGCTCATAGGCAGTGCCATCTTCTGTGGTGAGCGCGTGGCACACACGGTTCAGGATGCAGCTGGTGCGCCCCGGGGGATGCTGCCCGCCCTTGCACTGCAGAACGCCACACATGTCAGCCCTGTGGACGGAGGCAGGTAGTGGGCCAGCTTGCCCAGGCCCATGCTGGGGGGCCCAGGAACCACAGCAGGCTGGGGCCACAGTGACCCACCTCCCTCCCACAATACAGTGTGCTTGAGCCTGGGTCCATGGGCCCAGGGCAGACCCTCATGGGAACAGGACTCCTTTGTGGAGGACCTTCTGGGGCTGAGCCTGCTGTGGGAACATCACATGTCCTGGGCCCAGGGGAATCTGGTCTCAGAAGCTCACCTGTACCAGCTGGTCTTGCAGCCTGGTAGGATGTCATAGGAGAAGCAGGACTCCTCGGCAGCCCGCCCACCTGCGGGACCAGGAGCGGGTTAGCCCTGGCAAAGCCTGCAGCCACCCTGCCAGGTCCGCTCTGTGCCTACTTCACCTGGCCCCCAGAAGGCCTGGCACTGCTGGGTCAGTGTGGGGCAGGTCCCGTTGTAGCAGTAGCCCCCGAAGCAGGGCGTGCCGTTCTCCTGGAAGGCGTCTTCTGGGCACTCAGGGTGCCGGCCGTCACAGAACTCCTCGAGGTCACATGTGTCCTTCTTGGGACGGCACGGCTCACCAGCTGGCTTCACCTGGCCCAGCAGAGAAGAGCTCACCGTGGGGACAGGCCCATGCAAGCTGCCTGGTCCCTGGCGCCCCAGGGTCCCCTCCCACCCGCCAGCCATGGGCTCTGGGGGTCCCCGGCGGGAGGCTGCACTCACCCTGCACTCCTGGCAGCAGGTACCGTGCGCACACTGGGCCCCCTCAGCCAGCTGGCAGGTGGTGGAGTTGCAGCAGCGGTTCCGGCAGTCCTGGGGCGACGGCAAAGGCCTTGGCAGGCTGCACTGGGGCCGGGACAGGCTCCAGGGCGGACTGGCCGCCTCCCCTGACCACTGGGGTGCCCTGCAGCCACTCCCTCCCTGTGACCACTTTGGACACCAATGGAGCCCCAAGTTCCACATGTTTGTGCAGTGGTCATCCTGACCTGAAGGGACAGAGGTCGTGGCACCCCATGCTGACGGGAGCAGGTGCGGGGTGTGGACGCACCTCGGGGGGGCCGCAGTCGCACTGCTCCCCACGCTCTACAAACAGGTTCCCGCACACAGGGCCGCCCACCAGGTGGCTGAGGTCAGGGGCGTTGGCGAGACAGGCTGACTGTGGCCGCTCCAAAAAGCCCTCCAGGTAGGCCCGGCTGCAGTCACTGAACATCCTGGGGAACGTGGAGCTGGTGGAGAGCGACCCGTCAGGGAGGCGGCCGGGCCCCTTCCCCACCCACCTTGCACCTCCAGCATACCCTGGCTCCGCCAGGCCCGGCCGCCTCACCCAATGCTGCCCGCCATGATGCAGCGGCTGGCCTCAGAGGCTTCCCAGCAGCGGCAGCCCTGGACGTTCTCGTCGTGGTCCATGCCCAGGTTGTGGCCCATCTCGTGGGCCATGGTGCAGGCCACGCCCACGGGGTTCTTGCTGTGGTCCTGTGGGAGGGTCTGTGCTCTCAGGAACCATGTGGCCAACTCCCCACACCTGCCACCCTCACCCCACCAGGGCCCAGGACTTGGCACAGCTTCCCGCCAACACCACCTTAAAACATAAAATCACGCATTAAACCTGGCCTGAGGGAAGGTGGCCTGCTCCAGAGACCTGAACCGAGGCTTCCCCTCCCCTAGCCAGCTCTGGCCTTGGCCTGGCAAACCTGGGCAAGAGCCCCTCACCTGGTTCACAGCCCCTGAGCTGTGGGAGCACATGGCAGACACCCTGGCAAGCCCCACGGTGGTCCCAGTGAAGTCGACGCCCCTGAAAGTGGGAGTGACACAGATGCCCTGGACATGGCTCCCTCCCCACCTCCCTCCCACCCCAGCCATGCTCTCCCTCCTACCCCAACCCTGTCCACCCTCCCTCCCCAGCCCTCCCCACCCTGCCCACTCCGCCAACTCACGTGATGAGCTGCACGTTGTCCTGCAGGTGCCGCTGTGTCAGCCGCCGCGCCTGCCAGGCCAGGAGGTTCTCCAGTGTGACATTGGGGTCGGAGCTGACGTGGAACCTGTCCTGACGATTCCAAATCTCCAGGCCCACCAGGACCACACGGAAGTTGAGTTTCTGATATAGCTGGAGAGATGGTGGAGTCCTGGGGGTCAGGCGGGGTGGCGGAAGGTGCAGCAGGGAGGGTGGGGGCGGAGGCTGCACCTGTCCCGCTGCGAGGTGGGGCCAGGCACAGGTGCGGGGCAGAGGCAGAGCAGGTGGAACGAATCCCGTGGCAACGCTCCCCCACCTCCCGCCAGGGGCTCCGGCACCTCTGCAGCCGGCACCTCTGCAGCCAGGACCTCTGCAGCCGGCACCTCTGCAGCCGGTACCTCTGCAGCCAGGACCTCTGCAGCCGGCACCTCTGCAGCCAGGACTGCTGCCCACCTTGTCCACGTGGTTCACCACCTCCAGCACGCGATGGCGCACGGCTGCTTCGCTCCCCAGCATCTGGAACTGGGGACACGAGACCCTCAGGTTGGAGCCCACACACCCCCCATCCACCCTCCGCCGGCCGCTCTCCCATCTTCCCCGCCCCCAGCGCACCTCTGCATTGTCCACGACCACATAGAGCTCCACATAGCGCGTCTCTCGGGACGGCAGAGAGCCCTTGGGAACAGCCACAAGAAGCCAGTCAGCCTTCCCAGCCCCAGGGCCTGGACCCTCCCTCAGGGACCTGGGGCCACTGTCCAGCCCCTGCCCAGTGCTGGGGGAGTGTGGCCAGGCCTGCTGCAGGCTGCAGACGGTGGGCAGCACCCAGTGCATGGGGAGCCAGGGAGACTCACAGGTCAGGCAAGCGGACACCGGCAGGACCAGCCAAACACGGGAGACAACGGTGCTCACCCCGGGCTGAGGCCTGAAGACGGCTGCCGTCCGGGGCCCCAGGAGGCTGCCCAGGCTGTCGTCACTGACCCCGCAGGTCCCAGCTGTCTGCAGGAGGTGCTCGGCCTGGTACACGGCGTGCCGCCCACCCTCTCCACCTTCATCCAGGGGCTCGATCAGGTGCAGGTCTGAGCCCACCTGGAAGAAACCCCTGAGGGGAGCGGAAGCCGGGTGTGCCGTGGGCTTCAGAGTGGCCTGGTCCTGCCCCGAAGGACCAGAGGCTCTAGCTTGCTGCCCACGGCTCCCCCTACCCTGCCACCCGTAGCCCCCGACAGGTGACTTCAGGCCCCAGGGTGCAGGAGGGAGAGCCTCTTGGGCTTGGCAGGGTGCCCCGAGCAGACCCCGCTGTGCGACAGCAAAGGCCTGAGTGCGAGAAGGAGGCACCTCCCCGCCTCCCTTCCCCACCCCCGCCCCAGGCTTAGGCCTTCTTCTCCACCCGCGGGAGCCCTGGTGTTCGTCCGCTGCACCCACCTGAGGCCGGCACAGGTGCTGAGGCTGGCGGCTGAGTCCGGGTGCCCCTCCACATGGCCCTGGTAGAAGCAGTGGTCCTGCAGGGGAAGCAGGAGAGGGGTCCACAGGCTGTGCCCCCACAGCCCCACAGGCTCAGGGAGGGCCGCCCAACCCATCTCTGCCCGCCCAGCTGCTTCGACCGACCCACACCTGCCCGCGCGGCTGCTCCGTCACCTCGGACCCATTGGCAGCCGTGTAGGTCTCCGTGTAGCCGGAGCCCAGCAGGTCCCTGAAAAAGATGTGCTGTGGCTGCCTCGGGCCCCTCGGTACAGAGGCCGGCCCAGAGGCTGGACGCCGAGGACACCAGTGTGCTGGAGCCAGGCCCAGGCAGGGGGGTGACCTGAGACCCACTCACCTGTTCTTCCGAAGGTGCAGAGTGAAGTTGTGCCCTGTGGCCCCAAGGACATAGCTCACCCTCTCTGGGTACAGGCCCTGAGCGAGGAGGGAAGGGTCCCGGGTGAGCAGCCTGCCTGGGCTGGGCCCACCTCAATCCTGGGGGCCAGAGAAGCTCAGCTGGTGGGGAAGGGGTACCGGCCTCCAGCCCCAGGCCAAGGCTCCATCCTTGAGGGTCCACAGCCTCAGGCAGGGTAGAGGGTGGAAGGTGGGGGGTGGG